GGCACACATAAGTGCATCATTATATGCTCTCGATCTTCAGCCGTTGATTACATAAGCAAGTTAGGTATCAGTTGCCCAAGATAATCTAAGTATAATGTACATATTATATACTTATAGTATACTTTTATTAAGATAATAGGGTACAATAAGTGCTCTTACACTATTATATACATTAATATACCTTTTGCATAAATTATTAGATAACAATAGTTATTATTACATTATTATATTATAAATATAACTCTTTTTTTAAGATTATAATTTAAATGTAATACAAGTATAATACTTTAGGTTATCATACAAAGTTAGTATAATACATGTAATAGATTTTATTCATCCTTAGTACTTATGTAGTCTTTATATACATTAATATGTCTTATTTAAACATTACAGTTCATTTACAAACCTTACAATTACTTTACAATGTATATACAATACACATGTTACTTTACAAAGTCTATAAGAAATTACAAGAAATGTGACATTTTCCTGATGGATCTATTGAATAAAGAGCACTTGAGATACACTACAAAACCATGCTTTGCACGCCTATTACACACACTTAACAGGCGGCTATGGACAGGATAGTGGATAACTATCTTTCTGCTCAATGCAGGAAGGTTTGAAGAGTGTGTTTGCTGAGAATACTTATTAGTGTAGAGAACAAGTAAACATACTCAGCATCACTCTGCTAGCACATGTACCTCCAGGCCACTGAATATACTACAAGTGACTTTGGACTTCTGTTTGCCACCAACTTACTTTCTGCAATGTGTGTTTACATGGATCTTGACTACCTCTGACTCACATGAAGTTCTGCAGATTTGATTTGTTTTAGGTTGCAATACCTCATATCAAGTACTTAACTTCTTGAAGTCCAATATAATACATAGTAATACCTACTACATAGATTCACTCTTTAATGCAGGAGAAAGAATACAATGGCACTTTATAAAAAGATATGCTAGACCAATACAGTAACAGCTCAACCAAACAGGGTCCTTTCTTTCTAACAGTAAAGACAAGGCATGCATTTTAGAATATTTAGCTAGTCCTACCCAGTGTTGTTGTCTCAGCACATAAGAAATCATATGCAGTGTGCATCAAACATTCATTTTGTAGTGACTCACTTGCCATGCACTCAGCAATTGCTGATACTGTGTATCAGTCATTAAAAAATAAATTGCATGTAATTCGAAATGTTATGTTAAAAAAAGTTTCTACATGCCAATATACACATTACTATTTATGAAAAATGAGTCTAAACTGTCCACATTGTAAAGGTTTGAAGAAGAGAGCAATTTGTTGAAAATATCCAAGTGTTGTTGGTTGTGTAAATGTCTATTACTTAGCAATTTCAAAGCAAGTTGTAAAACGAAACAGTTTGATAAGAGCCGATGGAGTCATTGTCCATAGAAGCTAACACGGAATGTTAGCTCCAGCCAGGTCTGTAAGACGGTCCAGCTTGTCGTGCCTGTTCGGCGGCAATCCGTCTGCGTGCGTCTTCGAGTCTCATGCGCCACATTCGGTAGACACCATCATTCGGGTGTGGTGCGTAGCGACACGCTTCGAAGACGGTGAGCTGCTCTTGGAAACTTGGATTAATCCAGACCTGTTCTCGCGCTGTTTAGGGAAGGATAATATATTGGTAAATAATGAGAGTTATTGACGCTACAGAGGGAGAGAAATAAACATACACTGTCGTACAACGGTCATTGCGTCTGTTGCTGACATTCGCCGGGCCCACATCACTGTGCAAGGGTTTAAAGTCGGCAGTGCGTAGTTGTTGATTTGCGACATAAAACTTACGATAAGCAGCTACAACGCAAGCGCTCCTTGAGAGTCCTTGTACGCAATGTACCAGGACGACAGCACCGTGCGTCTGCATCGCAGTATGGATGAACTGGCAAGCTACCGGGAGGTGTATCAATATGTCCTCCGCCGGGTGATCCTCAACGGGGACCTTGTGTGTAAAGTATCCGGATTGCGGATGTTGTGCAGGGATTGGTTCGTTGCAGACGGATACAATGTGCGTTATTCTCCTGTCGTGCAGGGCGTGTGAGCTGCACGCAGTAGTAATACTAGATCAAGGGCATGGTAAATGAGTAGGTGTGTGGTAAAATACCAGACTTTCGCCAATATACTGACTTCCCAATGTAGAGCTTTCCTTCAATAACCGGGTCTACGTGATGTCTCCAACCCATTACAAGGGTTGCTCAATTACAGAACAGAAAAGTTGTTCGAGTGACCTCTGAAAGGAGAGAGCTGGCAAAGAGCTCTGAAGCGTACGTTAACTGGAACATCTGTAGGTGAAAGTGCTCTTGCTTTATACTCGCATATTCGTCGGTGAACTGAGCAACACATGAGAACCGAAATGCCTGAATGCAGTCATGCTGTGAGATGGGCGGGACAAATCGAGTTGCTAGTATTAACTCATCCGGAGTCAGCGAAGCTGGGAGTCGAGAGGCAGTACAGAGGTATCTCGTCTTGCAAGGCAATGACTCGTCTCTACTGCGAGATCCTATAGAGACAAGTGGTATGGCCATGGCAGCAATGTTCAGAGCAAGAAGCGCGTTTCGCAGTAAAGCAGATGGCAGGTTGGTTTATCACAAAAACAAAAGAAGATTGAGAGCAGTCGAGCCAAGGAAAGCAATTCAAGCATAGTATACTTCCGCGTGCAAGAAGACCAATTCCATATCCACGTTTCCCAGCGCATGAAGTCAGGGACGAGGATGATCATGTCGGAGGCATGAGTCACGCGCGCCGATCAGGGCTGCAAAGATGTGCCGTCACGGCCACTTCGTTGCTGGTTACTGGGAGTTGTACTCAGATAAACCGATTAATTATTTGATGCACAGCCCATGGTTCGCTAAAACCGGCCAAACCTAGTGGAAAATCCTGGTAGAATGCAAAGACAACGAATTTCAGATTACTCCCTCTACGAGTTTAGGATCGCAATCAAAACTGGCACAGTGGATCAATCCAGCACCGTTATTCCTAGTAAATTTATCAGTGGGCTGTACCAATAGACATTGCAATAGGACATCGGGCGCTTTCAACTTGTACGTTGCGCGCACAACGATTTGTTTTCCGGAATCAGTACATTAGCCGTTACTGAATTCGATGATTGGCTTCGTGCCTGAATTCAATGACTCGGAGTGGCCACACCCGCAGAAATTGGAAAACAAATCCAAGCATGCAGCGGAATCGACTTACGTGCGGGCGGCTTGCAATGCAAAACGTCAGAGACGGGTGAGCACATAGTGGTGAGAGTCAAAGTGCAGGCATTGCAAGGCGCGCAGACTTATTACCGTGCGAAACTACTGTAGCGTCTAATTTTGTCTAGATTTACCAGTTCAAGGTCAGATTTGTGTTTCAACGGGATTACGGGAAAGGCGGTCAGGCTGTTCAAGCTCGTAAAGCTTGAATGACTCGAGAGCGTCGCGCAAGTTAGGGTTCATGTTCCGATGGCGGATCACCTATTGGCCAAAGGTGCTTTTTGCCTTCCACTTCTAATGAACAACCCTATTCTGGTTACACGGGACATCTACTGAGAACGATTGCATGGATCACACTTACGTGCAAGGCTTGTGTTCATCATCAGGAGGGATAAGCGTAATAGTGATTAAGGGATTGAGAGGGAATTACGTACCATGGTAGGATCTCTGAGTCCCGTCAGTGTAAATCAATAACAATTGGATAATGATACTCACTCCTGGCGTAATGAATCCTCTGGGTGCACCTACTGAAAGAGGTGTTCCGAGGTGAGCTCACGCCTAGTACTTTGTGCACACGAGGTCATATGTCCCCGACATCAAACTTCGGATTTTCTAAACGAGCAGAAGTCAAACAAGTACCTTGCTCTGATGACTCGGAGGTGCCACTAGTACAGACATCCACGAGAAAGAGAAAAGGGTAGAACCAACTTATTGATGAATAACCAGTATCGTAGAGCGCCCAAGATGTATGAGGTAAAGAGTACTGAAATTCAGGCGGTGTAGCCTCATAGCCATGAGAGACTAATATTGTCCTCAGGTGCTCGGCACTGGTTCTGAACCAAGGATCAAAGCTGCGCCAAAAGTATGAATCAAGGTAGATGCATTGAAAGTCGCAAAATGTGTATATTTTCTCGCAAACCCTGGGCCTAGGACTTCTTTCTCTGCGGCACCTTCGATCAATCGGCGGGTACATAACCGCAATGAGTCTGTAAGCTGTGTAGTTTCGGGTCTACGACGACCTTCCGCGGATAATGGGATGTGTACTGAGCTAGACGAAACTAAGAATGCCTGCCTCAGGAGAAACTCGGATATGAGGAAGTATCGCGTACTCCGCTCAACCACATGCGAATTGCTAAATTGGCCAACCTGTGATGTTGGTGCAATTGCCGGCAAGTAATAAACTGTGTAGAAGATTCGCCAAGCGTCACATCCTCCCTGATTACAATTGTTTTAAGTGTTAACCACACCAACTCCAGCTCTCCACGGGGCAAACCTGGCATCTGTCTTAGGTATTCGGAAATGAGATAGTTTTGCACTTGTTGTAACGGAGTGACTAGTTCCCCACACGGGGTTTAGCGCTCACCACCATCAAGAACATTTGGCAGCGTAACCGTTGTAGGCGGATTGGCGAAGCAGCGTTAGGAAGAAATGCCATGAAAGGGCGCGCAGAGCGGTTCACGATATCGAATAGGGTATTGCCAAATATGGTGCAGCATCAAGGCAGAGGCTATGCCATCAACAGGCAATTGGATATAAGAACGTGACTGCCCTAAAAGTATATGAATCGAGCTTTGTGAGAAGCTCGTTCGGCAATAAAAGAATTCTGCAAAACACAGAATGCCGATGCACTGCAGTAATATATCAGAAAGGAATATGTACTACGCAATTGGTCTTACTGGTTCTGTTCGGCACGCAGAGGCGTTCGGGCCGAAAAGTGCGAGGAGGAATGACGCGATAGACAAGTGCAGTGACCGACGAAGTTGGCTTCTAGTTACAAAGTTCGGTAGTACTCAAGGACCGAAAAAAGGATGAGATAGCTAATTATGCACGGGATTCTTAGCCAAGAGTTATAGTGTGATGACTGTATTTTGACTGTCCGACAAGATCGTAAGCGGCCTTGGTTTATCCCATCCGAACGGCTGATTCTGAGCCTGCCACGAGAAGGACAGAATCGCTGGGCATGGGCCCGCACTTTTATGACCTCGGAGCTTTCCGTCAGCTGTCTATTTCATTCCGGGTTGTCCTCCTTCGACTATTGTATAGTCCCCTGACGTTCCTTGAGCATGCGCTGATATGTGAGTAAACTGAAACACAACGAGCAAATACATTCGTCAGCGGTCTCTTCCGCACCAACATCAAACTTAATAACTAAGCCACTTACATTCCCTCAAGAGCGCAACCCGCTTCAAACGCCGATTCAAATTCGGGCTGCGTCATCTCTGCTTCTGCATACCGAGCCTTTTCGACTGCGTTGGTGAATGTGTGAAAATAAATTTGACCGCGGGTCTCCGCAGAAAGCAGCGGATTGATGTGCCGCAGATGATGGACGAGTGAAACATGTGGTGAGAGAGGCGGCATTGACGGGATAACTGTGCGCGCAGCAGTGTCTGCAGCGAGATTTTTCAGTTCCTGTATCCCCAAATTTGGCAACGGGAATAAACAGACCAACTCGTGGAACAAGGTCCAGTACTGTCGTGCGAAAGCGAATGTCTTCCCATCTTGTCCCTGTGGAAGAATTGACATAAGAGCACGCCGTAACCCGTACTTCATAAAGCGTACCAGGAGATCCCCACCCCTCTCGATGGCTAACTTTCGGCAGAGAAGCGTGAAATATAGCAGAAGAGCGCAGCAATTCTTCTTCGATGAATACATGAACCAACTATAAAGGGATCATATAATTGGAGCTTAGGACGACGTGCATTTGGACATACCTTCGGTACGTCTCCTTTCCCAACAGCAATCCTGCGCTTCGGTATACGCGTAAGCTGTAAGCGAACTGACAAACGTCTTTTAAGACATAGAAGCAAGGATGCGACAAGCTATGCAAGTCAAGCTCTAAGCACAGTAGAACTACATATTCCGAAGGAACATACGACGAGAACATAGGCTGCGCCAATAATCAAAGCGTTGAAGTTGTGTGCCCAGTTTCGGTTCGGTGCAGTACGGACCGCTTGCGAGAGTAGGAAAATGCATGATATAAGCAGCAAAAGAGCGATTATTATGACGATAATGAAGTATGTAAGTCGAGCAAATGTGGTCGCGTTCAAGTGGAAGCGCATCTAGAAATGAGATTGTTTGAGTCAGAGACAGTAGCGGCGCAAATTAAGGAGAAACCAACACGTCCTGGCTCCGGCCAACAGCGGACTCCTAGTGCGCAGATGCGGCCAGCTTGAATAACTAGAAGAAATATAATGCAAACAAGCTCCTATAGTGGTTATTGACTGTTCTTCAAGGGCCGTCCGCTGTGTGTGTTCATGGTCAGTGGTCAGCTTCCACAACCGAGCGGAAGATCGACGCGGTGACACAAACAAGGCTCCTTACATAATCACAGTTCTTTCCTTTCCCATGCTGCCTCAATAACGTGACCTACAGGCTACCATCACATCACATTGATATTCACAAAATCGATGTCTTTGCTTTGAGCGTCTTTCTAGGCACCTGTCTTGTCCTCTTTGGCCATTATATTCTTTCTTTGCATAGTGATTCCTCGGTCAAACGTTAATAATTGTCAGGGCAGGGACGGCAAGTCTCTTCAATACACGTTCGTCAATTTCCCTCAACCGCTTGAAGGCGATTTCAATCTGAACACGTTGGAAAACGGTACAACTGAACGGCTTTCCCGTATATTTCACGTGTCTATTTCAAACTCGGTTTATAGAACCAACACCGTCCTCCACCGTCGCCAGTTACGGGTTCGGGCGGCACCTTCCCTCGGACCCGACAGGCTCGTCTTTGAACAGCTTTATTGTACCAGAAGACTCGTCAAGATGCCGAACTCAAGCTCCGTGTTCCGAGTTGCTCATGCGCTCATGGCCAGCTTCCCACTGCGGATGACTATCTGTTCCGCGAATCCGCTTTGAGCAATGCATCTTGTCTTGCTCAATCATGACTCGGTGTGTCGCGGTGAGCTCAACCATTCTTTAGCATTTGTCGTAGCGGAGGTGGCTATTCAAATTCTTGTATGTATGGTGCGGTGTATTGTTTTCTTCTGCGAGATCAGACCAAACTCGCGGTGTTTGACGGGATAACTGATGCCATGACCATATGATATAGGGCTACTGTGCGAATAACAACGCGATCCGACGAACATGATGTCCGATGCCTACAATTGTTCGCGGTGATATCCAGGGAAAGGCAAAAGGCATTTCCACGCCATAAGGAGTGTCTAAACGCGGAAAGCTGAATGCAAGGGTCACTGAATGACTGAGTCGGGAAAATATGGAAACTCGCTTTGTCCTCGGTTCCTTATATACCAAGACCATACTGAGGGGCTGCGGAACCATTTCAGAAGGCACAACAGTCCGAACTGGGTACAAACGAAGTGTTGCTGTTATTGTTGTGAGCGTGGAAGACTTGTACTATCTTTGCACGTGGTCGCCACAGCGTCATCTAGGCGTTCTATTGGAAAAAAACAAACAGGAGCAGCATGCTGTGGGATATAACAGATGTGGCTGAAGGTAACAGATGCAGGCAGGTTATTGGTAAAAACAAGAGGGCAAGTGTAATTCGGGTATCCGGATCCGGGCATGTGATCGGCGTTTCCGTCGCGGTCGCACGCGGAAGCAATCACTAATGGATGTCCTTGTACTTTCTTGACTCTCGTTCCCCTGGCTTCTCTAGTCTTCAAATACTGCTAGCTGGCAACATGATATGTCCTTCAACCTCCCCCGTCATTTACGGATCTCGTTCTCCCTTCGAACCCTTCCAAAATTTCTTACTTTTGCTTTCTTCCTGTTATGGGCCCAATGTTCCGCCAGAGGCATCATGACCTTCCCCTCAGCGAGAAGCCGAACAACAGTAGCTCAGAAAGCGTCAGTACACCATTTTATTTATCAATATATTTTTCTGATGATTTTTGCTTGGAAATCTCTAGCTCCAGGAGGACACTCTTACTGGTCCACACAAAATCACCTATAGGCCAGGAAAGAAGTGGGACTTCGAGGGATGCACAGATAGTGCTTCTATTGACATCGACCTAGTCATGCCACCTCATCGGCCACGGCTACAACCCGAAAATCACAGGACAGGAATGTTCCTGAGCAGCGAAGCAGGAGCCGTCCGCGCGAAAGTCGTAAATATCTTCTTTTGCACATAATATTAATCAGTTTAAGATGTCTGACTGCCATGATATCATTGATGGATTTTTAGTGCCGACATGCTCTAAATCGATCATTCAACCTTACAATCACAGGTGGGCTCAATACGGATGTCGTCGTCTGGATACCTTCAAACTTTACTGGGTTCATCACTGTTTCCGGGTCACACGCTTCCTTCTCACCATCATTCGTCGAGCGCATCATGCCAAACGCGCGAATAAACCATTCAGTACCGCAAGCATGGAGAGGAGATGAAATCAATGTCGAGACTGGCGGCCGTGTTGCGTTCCGTGTGTGGGATGTGCTTTCGAGGCGTGCGGAGCCGGAGAAGTGCATTGCGCAGCAGAGACGTACTGGTGATGTCTGGCGCCGGATGTTTGGTGGTGTTAGCGCAAGCAATGGAGCATCGGAGAAGAAGGGACTCCGACAGCAGAGTGTACAGACTTGGGACTGGGATTTCTTAATTGAGGATTGATCTTTGATATTTATACCTCCCTCATTTCCTTTTTCCCCCCTACCTATTTCTTTGCCTTTTATGGATGAATAATGAGGACATGGGTTGCTTGGTTGTCCCTTAATTTCACTTCGTTCTTCACACGCCTTGTTACATTGCTTATATGCGCCCACACATGTATCCTCATTTATTACCTGCACTACTGTATCGATAGACACATCATTATATGCATCTCCTTTTTATGCCCGTAGAAGGACAATGCTATGAACGCATCCGCGTTCCATCCGCGTACTACGGAAGGTTAAAATGGAACGACAAGACAAGCATCATGAAAAATACAATGCATTTGAAGCAGGGAAGCAGGATAGAGCCGCCAGCTATCGTTTCATCTTCCTCTTCAACACCTTTTTCAACGCCGCTTGATCCTTCTCGAACTTGCCTTTCTTCTTTTTGGGGCCTCCTAGAACATCGCTCTCAAGTTCCTCCCGACTTCTCGCACGTGAACGTGATAATACATCGTCTTTCTTTCCGCGCTGACGGAGTTCTTCATACCCATCACCGATCGTACTTTCCTTTCGGCGGTTAACTGATTTGAGAACGTCAGCAAACTCGTCTTCTAGGCCTACACCGCGTCTCCCGCGGCCACGTGAACCAGGAGCGAGCCCAGCGCCCGTCCCACCAAGTGCAAGGTCCTCCTCGTCCCGTCTTCGACGCTTTGAATCCTTTTTCTTCATTACCAGTCGCGTGAAGTTCTCTTCTTCGAACTCTGTCATGCGCGCAAGTTCTTTTGCACGTGCGGATTGGAGGGCGGGGACGTTTCCGAGACCAGAGGTACTTTCCATGTGGGGGTCGAAGTGCCCTAGTTGGACGAGTGCGTTTGGTATGGGGGCGCGGCGTTGATGGTCTTTGGACTTTGAGCGCGCACCGTCTTCGGTGTAAGGCATTGGAGCGACCTTTGGGGGACGGTAGATCCCGCTCCGTTTTTGTTTTGATTCCGAGTCCGAGCCCAAGTCTGAGGCAGTGCCTTCGGAAGAATTTGAGGCGTCCTGGGTCGTTAAGTTTTGTGGATTCGGTCGGAAAGCAAGAGGATCTACATAACGTATTAAAACCAACGTTCCGGACAATCGATTGGGGGCAAATACGCACCATTGACGATGTTTTTCCCAGCATCGTCAGGAGACTCCTCCGCTAGCCGAATGAGCTTCTCAATCTGGTATCGCATCTTACTCTCAAGTGCTTTCACCTTCTCTAGCACTGTTCTGTTCTCAATCATCGAATCCACGAGATCACCGGCTTGAGAACCTCGAGGACTGCGTTCAGCGGAGCTGAATGTGCTTTGTTGGGTTGATGAAGTCCTATCGTTTAGTGTGTGACCGAGTACGCGGTGGGCGGAGAGAAGTACAAGTGCTTGACAGTATGAAAGCATGAGGTGGTGTTTGAGTGAGAGAAGCGATATGCCGTCTTTCGTATCAAGGTCTGTCCTGTGATAAGTCTGTTAGAAGAGTGTTTAATCAGGAGAGAAGGACGGTGCGCACTGAGCTAAAATTTTCTTGACGGACTCCCGAGTCGCCTGCACGCTCGAAGTCATCGTGCCTAAGAGGTCGCAGAACGCCTTTTGGTCAACATCTGTTCCCTCCATGACAGTTGTCCTAAGTTGATATGGAGCATGAGATAAAATTCAACAAAAGAGAATGTATATGATGGGGTGTGAATCAGTCAACGGGTTTCTAAGCCGCCGCTCATGTAGAGCGTAGTGCATTACATCGAAGTCTTGAAGACTCAGAGCCCAGTGCATTTCATCTTGCAAGAACTAAGAAATAAAGACATGGAAAAACACTCACTAGTAGGGTGCCGTATGGACTAGGGTTGAGTAGGAATTTAGAGAAAAAGTGACAAAATTATTTTTAAACGGAAGCATTTTTGGTTTACATTTCCCACGCTTGCTAATATGTACGAGAACCAGTAAAGGACTTTATGTGGTCTCTCAGTCGACGGCGACGACGTCCGTTTCTTCTTGCTATACGCGAGAATGAGTCAACGGCGTCGCTAGGCTTTACAGTGTAACCAGAAGACGTTCTACTTGACGTTAACAATCAGGATCGTAATCCAATCACAATCGCAAGCCAACCTCGTGCAGTGCACAATTGCACTGCACTCGTGTGCGCACCGCAACCGAGCCTTCCAGCCTACCCTCTTACTGATCGCCGTCAAACAAAGCGGCTCTCGCTCTGTCGCTTCCTCCTTGCTAAGGCCTGTTTACTTGACTCATTCCCTGGGAACTTATTATTGTTTTTATTTCTGGTGGACTACGTCGACTCGACTCCACCTTCAATATCGCCCATCCTGGCTCACTTTCGACAGTTCATCTCCGACCTCTTTGACAAGAGGGACAAGAAGAACGACTCAACAGACAGCAGTGGCAAACTTAAGAAGCAGCAGCGAATGTCCGCCCCGCCCGTACCTACGAAAGACGATCTTGTCAGTAAACTCGATGCACTGAGCTTGGATGGTACAAAGGGTAAAGGTCCCAAAGCTGAATTTGTTGGAGGATTCAAGTACGTCTTCTTTATATCCTCGAATGTCCACATTGATTACATCTACACTGTTGTCTAGGCATGGACCAGCTAATCCTAATGCTGGACGAGTGTCCTCATCCTCAACACCCCCGGCCTTCCCAACACCAATAGACCAGACTCCGATACCTCCCTCTGTACCTCCTCCGCGTCCTCCACAGATGCTCTTTCCCACGCCCGTTCATTACCAGCCGCCGTCGCGAACAATGCAATATGCGCTCTCAGAGAACCCGAGTGCTTCTGCTTGGCTAGAACTTGATCCTCCCGACCTTCCGCACAGGCCGCATTCTGATGAGCCTCCAAGTAGGAAGTCTCCCGGCTCATCTCCGGCACGGCTAGAGGTCAGTACTCCAAAGCGACCTCGCGCGGTGTCTTCCCCTCCGATGTCCCCGACGGCATCGAAGGGTTCTTCTAATGGAAAGGCTGGTGATGAACGTACCCAATGCTCTGGAAGAACAAAGAAAGGAGAACGATGTACACGTCAAGTCAAGACGGATCCTGCTTTGAACGCTCTATATCCCGATATTGCTGTAGAAAGGTTCTGCTTCCAACATAAAAAAGAGGTAAATGAACAAAGTGGATATTATTGGAAATCAAATGTCTGGGTAGATTTCTCCGGTAAATGAGACGTTGTTCCTTGTCAAATTTCATCATTTCAACGATTCGCCTTTATAGAATATATACCCGGTTACCTACATCCGGATACCCAAGCTGCTTTACGAGTTGAAATGGAGAAGCCACCAACGAAGAGCGATGAACCTGGATACATCTATACGTTTGAAATTCGGGGTACGTAGTACATTCATATCGAATTACATTCCGTGTTTTCAAATGCTGTCCCATAAGTTTCATGATCAGTAACTTATTTCTTCTATTCTCACTAGATCCGTCCACGCCATTCATGATTTACCTGAAAGTCGGACGAACAGTCGAACTCAACACACGACTAAACAACTGGAAGAAGCAGTGCGGCTCGAAAGAACAGATCCTTCGCGGTTGGTGGCCTGGGACAGTCGCAAATGACAATGGCAACAATAATAACGGAGAGACGAGTTTGATGAAAGGACGTGTGAAACCTGGTGAGAAGGGTGCCTTCTGTCACAAACTGGAGAGACTTGTGCATCTTGAGCTCGCGGATCTTGTTGTGTATGCACCGTACCTGAATCCAGACTTCCAGAATGTATCGGGTGAGGAGTCGACGAGCGCGAGGATCCCGCGGTCAAACCCGGGCACACCGGGGAAAGGTGGTAAACGTGCTGGAGCGTCGTCTGCAGCGTTGAACAGCCTTCAACAGGGGAATGTGCCTTGTGCTGACTGTGAGTCATTCACCTATCTTCATTCTCTACAAATTACAACTAAAGACCGATCTTACCAATTCTGTTCGTTTCATTTCGAAATGTGTGCGTGTCCACAGGCGGGACAGTCCACAAGGAGATATTCTCCTTCCTCCGACCAGAGAAGGGATCGTACAAGGGAAGAGAATGGGACTTGCTCGTGATGCCCGTTATCGAGAAATGGGGACGATTCGTCGAGAGTTTGCGATAGCATTTCCTATTGTCTGCTATACGTACTTTTGACTCTGACGGATTCGCTGTATGATTGCTCTTGCTCTCGGATATCTATCGAAGGAATTTGGTTCAGAACTCACTGACACTGTATTATATATTTACCCGTTTCGCTGCATGTCATGGACTTGGTTAGGATATGTGGAACATGTATATATATGCATGTAGAGAAATAATTTATTTTCTTATAGACTAATGTGTTCGTAGCACTGTCCTTTCCTATGGGACTGAACGGTAAGGTGCAAATTCGACACAATAGTATGAATATCGAGATTTCCAGGCAGAGCGTAGTGCATTCCATTAGAGACATTGAGATTCAGATTCCAGTGCATTTTGACCACTATGACAGAGAAATAGGCTATAGAATAAACACTCACGAGGAGAGACACTGTGTGGACTAATGGTGAGATTGAAAGGTGAGAGAATTGGTGGAAGCATTTCGCCAGGTCAGGTTTCCCACCCACGTTTGTGATAATACACTCACTAAGCGACTTCGTGCAGCCCCTGAACTTGACGGCTGACGACAGCAGCAAATTCCTCCTCCTGCACAGAACAATGGGGCTATGGTTCTGGCTCTTCTGGGATATACCTGTTGCTTAGATTGCATTCGAAACTTTCACATTAATGTAAACAATCGGAACAGCAGTCACCATCTAATGCCAACGTTGTGCTATACACAATTGCACTGGATTCGTGTGCACTTAGCATCCTACAATGCACAAGGCTGATTAAAGGGCTCGGCGCTGTCTGTCGCGTTGCCCAGGACTATTTGTCCACCCAGGGCTCATCTGTTATCGAAGGCATAGAACCGTCACGACAGGTAACTCATCGTGAGTACAACAAAAATATTTGAAATAAGTGACAAAAAAGTGTTCTTATTGTCCGATCAGAGAGCTATTTCGGGGATATATTTCAGCATGCCGCGTACTATAATCTCACACATTACATGGTGATATCATATCGAAGTCATGTCTGATATAGGAACAGGAGGCCTAGTCGTGGCATGCCTAGACTGAACCTACCTACCAGACCGTGCCAGCATGGTAAGGATATGTACCGCATAATTGCACTGGATTTCTGTTTGCTCGTTACCTGACCCTCCCAGTCTCCTTTCTTTCCTGGTCGATAATCCACACATGGTCCTGGTCTGTTCTCAACACACCATCACTGACGGCTTCGAAGAGAGGAACAAGAGTGACTCGACAAACAGTAGTGGCAACCTCAAGAAGCACCGAAAGTCCTCAAGGGAGGATAATCCCGTCGGTAAATTCGATGCACTGAGCTTAAGCAGCACGAATTACCTCAAGCCTAAATTCGTTGGAAGATCCAAGTACATATTCTGTGTATCTCTAAATGCCTTGTCTTGACACACAATTACCTTGATTCCAGACATGGACGTTGGACGAGGACTTCTGGCTCCGACTCTGCCCTCCTCTTCATCCCCGCCATCTCTTCCTGATAGTTGCTTTCCTACATCCGTTCATTATCAGCCACCACGAATAATACAATATGGGCACTCGGAGAACCCAGGCACCCCTACCTTGCAAGAACTCGATCCTCCCGACTTTCCACACGGGAGACATTATGATGAACTGCAAAGTAAAGAATTGCCCAGTGCATCTCCTGCACAGCTGGAGGACAGTACTCTCAGGCAATATCACAGTGCATCTTGCCCTCCTGTACTTATGACAACATCAAAGAGTTCATCCAACGGAAAGGCCGTCAACGAGCGAACCCAGTGCTCTGGAATAACACAGAAGGGGGAACCCTGCAAGCGTTGGACCAGGGCAGATCTTGCTGGGAAAAAGTGGTACTGTCATGACCATATTCCTATTTTAACCTCCTCTCCAATATGTCAGACAACATCAAATAGTTTGTCCATTGGAAAAGTTGTTGACGAGCAAACCCAGTGCTCTGGAATAACACAGAAGGGGGAACCCTGCAAGCGTTGGACCAGGGCAGATCTTGCTGGGAAAAAGTGGTACTGTCATGACCATATTCCTATTTTAACCTCCTCTCCAATATGACAGACAATATCAAATAGTTCGTCCAATGGAAAGGCTGTTGACGAGCGAACCCAGTGCTCTGGAATAACACTGAAGGGGGAACCCTGCATGCGTTGGACCAGGGCAGATCTTGCTGGGAAAAAGTGGTACTGTCATGACCATATTCCTATTGTAACCTCCTCTCCAATATGTCAGACAAAACCAAGGGATTCATCCAACAGCAAGGCCAACAAGGAACATACCCAATACTCCGTAATAGCACAATTGGGAGAATGCTACAGCCTTCCTGTCAAGGGAGACCCTGTTCTGGAGGCCCTTCATCCTAACATTACTGTGGCAGAGTTTGTCAATTGGCAGACAATACACTATTTTAATCTAAATAATGTCTCTGTGGATTTCTCCAGTAAGAGTGCCATTTTATCCTTTAAGGAATTCCAATTTCTCAACTCTTGAATATTTACAGAATACATACCCAATTACCTGCGCCCGGATACACAAGACGCTCTACGAGCTGAAATGATGAAACCACCAACAAAGAGCGATAGACCAGGTTATGTCTATGCTTTGGAAATGCGAAGTATGTTATATGTTCATATCAAATCACGCTTCATGTTTTCGCACAATATTCTACTTGTTCTCATGATCTGTCACTGTCTTCCCTTTTCTCGTTAGCTTGAGATGCAGACACGCAGGAGGATTCGTCAAGGAACATGCCAAATAGCAAACCATTCGTCTTAAAAGTCGGGAGAACAGTCGACCTTGATAAGCGACTGAGGAGCTGGAAGAAACAATGTCACAACAAAGAGCAGTTACTTTGCGGTTGGTGGCCTGGGACGATTGCAGATGTAAATTCTAACCACAATTTCGATGACGACAGCGTTGGCAAAAACGATGACGGAGAGATGTGTTTGATAAAGGGACGTGTGAACCCTGGCGAGAAGGGTGCCTTTTGTCATAAACTGGAGAGGCTTGTACATATTGAGCTTGCAGACCTCGTTGTCTATGAACCGTACTTGAAGAAAGACTTTCTGAATCTATCAACCGAAGAGTCGGCGGGTGCAGGGATCCCACAGTCGAATCTCCAAACGCCAAGGAAGTGCGGTAAACGTGCCGGAACGTCGCCGAGTCGACTGAAGCACTGCGCATCCTTCGAGCCAGGAATACTGCTTGTACATCAGGAAAATGTCACATTTCTTGTAATTTCTTATAGACTTTGTAAAGTAACATGTGTATTGTATATACATTGTAAAGTAATTGTAAGGTTTGTAAATGAACTGTAATGTTTAAATAAGACATATTAATGTATATAAAGACTACATAAGTACTAAGGATGAATAAAATCTATTACATGTATTATACTTGTATTACATTTAAATTATAACCTTAAAAAAAGAGTTACATTTATAATATAATAATGTAATAATAACTATTGTTATCTTATAATTTATGCAAAAGGTATATTAATGTATATAACAGTGTAAGAGCACTTATTGTACCCTATTATCTTAATAAAAGTATACTATAAGTATATAATATGTGTGTTATACTTAGACTATTTATACAAATAGTTTACAATTATTGTAAAAAGCATTTCATCTACTTGTAATAATTACATCAGTGTGTTTAGAAAGCTATATACATGTCATATTACTTTTTACTATATTACAAAGTAGATTAATTATTTTATTTTATACCTAAATACAATAATTGAAATGTTCTATCAGTTGACGACTCATATTATAGTTGCTTATGTAATCAACTGCTGAAGATCGAGAGCATATAATGACGCATTTCTCTTCGTC